GAGAGAGAGAGAGAGAGCAATATATTTCTATCTATTTGTTACTTTTATGGCTACTTCTATGTTGCATTTATGTATCTTTATTATCTATTCTTAGGATCACTTATATTTCTTCTTTAATTAATAGGTCTACAAATACAACCTATTTAATGCCAATATCTAGCAAGGTCACTTTTACAAATGAAAGACATCACAGACACTATAATGCTTTTCAGACCAAGAACTGTTAAGACATCAAGGAATAAGAAATGATATTTCCAATGCAATCAATTCCGATTCTGACAATCACACAGACGCACACCGAGAAACAAATTATGCATTTCTCTTTATGATTTCTCATTGTTGAGAAATATCTTTTATGTAATCATAATACTCTAATCTGTAAATCTGTATTTCTTCTTTATTGCTGCATTGGATTATATTAAAACTTTCTTTTTCATTTTTGCTAAACTTTAAACACAGATTTATTTCGTTTTAACTATGAGAATTCATAAAGGACGGACCAAATTTTGACAATATGTAGAAAAAAAGAGAAAAACAAAGCTTGTTGGCAAATGTCAAGCTGTGCAACACGAGAAATTTTCTTGCATAAAAATCTATTTTTCTTTTTTTGGCACATCAAATGTTAAGTATATTTATTTTTTATTTCTATCTTTTTTACAAAGATTCTATTTCCACGAAAAATTTCAAAAATAACTGTTTTATCAATTTATACATAATTTATACATACCTTTTACTCTGCTGATGATTCGAGGTCACTCGCAAAATATATAGACTATGTAAATGACATGATTTAACGACTCTGAGCGGATCGTCTTAGACTCACCTTTAATCGGCCAACTAGCTCCATAAACTCTTGTAGTCTCTTTGTATCTTGCATCGCGATTATTGGAGACTCACGTAATCGTTTTGATTGTGACTATCACCTTCGCAACGAGTAACAGTTGCACTTGCTTGCACCTAGTAATCAGCAGTTATATTTTTTTATATTGCAAATAGAATGATTAACGTCACAGTTATATTAATGTCATAATAAGTTTTTTTTATATAAAATGTTATTCGCAAAATGGCTTGTAAACGTAGACACAGAATAATGATACGTCAACAAATTTTAAGTCGATGAATTGTATCAATGCAAATTGTGGTATTCAAATGTGCCTTACCTTCGCGGAGCAAACACGTTCTGGAGTTGATAAAAAAATCAAACGGAGAAAGAGACCGGAGTAAAACCAATCCAGGATTTCCACCAGCGAACTGATTATGACTGTTCTTTTTGACTGAACTTGCACCTTTGATCTTTGTTCTCTTTCTCTCTAACGTAAAGAAAGAAAGAGAAAAGATAAACGGTGCAAGAAATTTAGGTAAAAAGAACAGACCTATTATTTCCCTAGTCGTCTTTAGCACTGTGACGAAAAGCGGGTAAGATTGAAAATGAATTGGAAGTCCTCTCTTTCTAAAATATTAAATCTCATATTATAAAAGAAGAATTAAATATCCGTATTTTTATCTTGTGCAGAATAGAACATATACTAATATGACCAGGAGTCAAAATTCGAATAGTTTAAATGACAAATAAAATCACGAATTAAATCATTTAAATCACACTTAAAAACATTTTAAATATAAAATCGAACAATAAATATTTTATCGTTTTTAAACAAGATTAAGAACAGTATTTCAATTGTAATTTTATAGATAATCTTAAGATAATTTTTTTAGATAATCTTAAAATTTCTAACTAATGAAATGCTTTGAATTTAAATTGGATAGTCATAAAAATACAATAATTAACTAATTAATAATTAATACGATAATTAATACGATTTTGTTTTTATTCTCTCCTCGAAATCTCGAATCAGCACAGATTCAACATTCATGATTTTCCCATACAGGACGTTCCGTAAGTCGAGATCATTCGGAAATTCACTAGGTACTCTGCAATTTCATATGTCGAAAGCTAGTAAATTTCCTTACTTTTGTAATTTTCATGTTATTTCAAAAAAATCAATATATCCCCAGACGTCTGAGAGACGTAGAATTCGGGTATTCACCGTTGTATATTTTGTGATATTTGTACTTTACCTTTATATCCTAAATATACCCTACTTATATAGAGAGTCTTGAATAACCGCCGAATACGTACAACATTCGCGACATAGCGTTCGATGGAGGATCATCTATTTCCAAGTGTTCGTCGACGTCATTCGGTAAGTAATTTTGTTAAAGTATTAGAAGTGGAAAGGAAAGTGCTGTAATTAATAAACCCTTCACTCTTATCGATTGTTTCGATAATTTGATTTACACTTTTAATTATAAACACATTAACTTCACATGACAGTCGAGAGCATAAATTACGTTGTCTGCAAAAGGATGATTATCAGATCATTTGATGAATCATCAGTTAAAAGGTGTACGCGGACGTTCTGAAATTTTTCTGGAAAATCCTGACTCTTGTGGAAAATTATGATTCGATTCGTTACTCGCGATTTTTTCATGATTTTCATCAATTTTGATGAAAACAAATATTTTCCTAAAAGAAATAACGACTGCTCTAGATGACAAGTCTAAGAAATTATGACGATTAAAATTTAGTTT